AGGTCTATTTTGTTAATCGATTTAAGCACACTACTTACTTTTTGATAATTATCGAAGGATTTACTGTGGTCACATTAGATTTAACACCTACGTCGTCTGAAAATTGGTGAATCGGTGGAGCGTTGCATCTAAAGAAACAACACGATACAGCGCGTATTATTTTTACTTTAAAAACTTTATAGCCTATATATTATATTATAAGTCAATCGTGACGTCACCACTGTAACTCCCAATGTTATTTGCCTATTTCCCAGCGTCCACTAATTTCTCTATTAGTGGACGCTTGGCTTTATTTTTTTAGGTCCGTGTGCAAAAAAAAATCCTCATTTTTTTCGTCACCGAGGAATATAATACACCGCGATAAAAATGGAATTGTAATTGAAAATTACTTTCGTAAAACAAGCTTAATTTGAACCCGAAGAAAGTTACTTCAAATTCAATATTAAATACGAACAATTAAGGAATTCATTGAATCAATGGACCCTCATAAACATAACAAACTGAACGTTTAATAGGAATATTCTAGACTTCTTTTAAAGACTCAAGGAACAAATTTAGATGTAGGTCTACGGCCAGGCAGGAGGCCGTCCAGGCCTCCTCCTACTACTCTACTAGGCCGAAGGCTAGCCTTATGAAATCATCGCACGATCTTACCTGTCTGCATGCACCGACCAAAAAGGACGTCAGTGACTGTATTCTCTCTCGGGTGCTAAAATGTTTATTTCTTTGACGAAAGTCTATCAAAATAGCATTACAATCAAGTTCTTTCTCTAACACAATACCATAGTTATTCATCGTATCCGTACTGTACTGCTCTTAATTAAACCAAAGAACTTAAATAGCAGAAGAATGAGCTGTTTCGCGTATTTTTATTAAAATTGATGGAACATCCGCCCTCCTGTGAATGGGTTAAAATTTGAATATTTTACTAAATAAAGAAACTACAGGAAACAAACGAACCTGAGCGGCTCCGTGTACCCACAATGCATTTAGAACGGATGTTCCATTATATTGATTAAACGCGTACTGCAGGAGCAAAAATCAGCATACGCACAGCTAAATGTAAATACGTACACGTATACTGATCATATCACTATAGCAACCGAAGACTATTACAACAGTTGGTTATAAAAAAACTAAAATTAAAAGACGGCGATTGACTTATAAAGCATCGTAATGTACACTAAATGAAAAATTATTATACTTAGGTTAGATTTAATGCATTCAAAAATTCCTTTGGGCCTTGCAGGCCCTCAGGAAATTTTTTCAAGCATTAAATCTAAACTTCGTATAATCCTATAGTGTACTATGCGGAGCTCTACTAATTGCTTATTAGCGAAATTAACAAATACTAACTACAACGTTAAAAAATATATTTAAAAGAACAAATAAGCCTGTTAATTAAGCGCGAGTTGTCTCTCTCCACCCAGGAGTACAAGTGGGTACCTGGTAGGTTCAAGCTGATTACAGTTGCAACATTATGGAATTTCCCAAGGGACCCGAGTGTGTGCTCCATGTGCTTGATCTAATGACCCAGTGTAATAATGCTAAGCAGCAATATGCGCTATGCTATAGTCGAGAATTATTACAATATTAATTAATAGCCTTTGGCATATGACTACAATGATGAGTACTGTGCCTATACTCATTGAAACAATAAAAGCTTTCAATATTGCAACGTACAATAATACAAACCGTTATTATTGAATAATATTGAATAATGTTGTAATAGAGGCAGTGTAAATAATTAAAAACGACATATAGTTCTCTGATACATGCCTGATACAATCAATAGGAAGTAAACTTTGCTTTGCCAAATTAGCCTCGAAAAGCAGCCTATCACGTAACGAAGCCGATCGAAAGTTCACAAAACAAAACAAAAAACAAAAAACATAACAAACACGGAAGCCCAGGCCTTCTATTCGAGTTTACGGTATGATGATCAGGCCAATTAGTCAAATAGAGTACCATAGCCGTGTCGTCACAATGCCAGGTAGCGCCCTCTGTTGCCAACCAGACGTTGGTTAGCGTTCATTACGCCTGAATGCCTGCATATAGGCTTTCTGGAACAGGCATCTTAAAATCTAATATTTAACCATCAAAATGTACTAAAAACACAAAAGCTCGCATTATATTAGTTATCGAGCACACATTTAATATTCAATTAAAATCTACAAAGAAAAATTAAGATAGGCCTACAGCATCTTAATACAGTAATACGTTAGAAATTGGGATCAATGGTTTGTCAGTGGGGAAAATGGCGTCCGGTTGAACGCATTTTGCAACGATAGCAACAGAGTAGTATCACATGGTATCGAGACGTAACACTGTAGTACTCTATGACAATCAAGCGAAAACATAAAGCCCTGTCAACACTATAAAATTTTGAAAAATCACACCATGACCATATAGGCACATGACTATGGGCATTACAACAGTTTGTAAAAAATTGATAATCTGGACAGAGTTTTATAGATGACAATAATGGTCAAACTTTTACACAAAAAAAATGTAGTAGGCCTATGAAATGTAACCAACCTAATTACAAAATCCGACCTGTCTATTTCATTACCACATTTACTTCCACGTAATATGCCTCCATTTCCCACAACAGAACATCTTTTATACATACGTTGAAAAGGAGATGCCTGGAAAAAAAATAGCTATAAGTAACATATATCAATAAGTTAGGGCCTACTAATGCATAGATGACTTTTTATCCATATAAAAATGTGCTCGTCTTTTAGTGGATGTATCACCACTAAAGTAAAAATCAACCACTGATGTAACATTAACCACTGTTGTAACAAAATTCATCAACCACCAAACGATAAACAGCTCAATAGTGCCAAAATGTTATATCTGTCTCTTATACACATCTAGATGTGTATAAGAGACAGGTATTGCAAGATCAAGAAAAAAAATGGTCAAAATCGATCATTTTGAAAATGAATTTCCTTTCATTACCTTTGACCTCCCACCTTCATTATTAACCTCCAATTATTTACTATATTTACAATGTCACATGGACCATTCCTGTACAGCTTGGGCTTGTTATAATCTGACATTTAACCTCTATATTAGAAATTATATAACAATTTTAAAAATGCACAACCATCATTAATGTGAAATTTGGGAATGTACACAAGCTTTCGGCTTGTGGACTTCTATTTTGTACGTTGTTACATTATTGGTTAAATCATTGTCGCAATAGTGGTTAGTGGATTTTGTTACAACAGTGGTTAAATCGTTGTTACAATAGTGGTTAATGAAATTGTTAACAGTGGTTATTTTTGTTACAACATTATAGACATTATATATTTTCTGCCTAAAAAGTGGGGGCCCACTCCCCCCACCCCCGGTTCCACCAGCCACGATAAAATAACAGAGATGACCTTACCTTTGGCAGCATGTTGTAAAATTCCGTACTTAATTTTCTTATACTGTCTCCTGACGCGTAGCTAATGTTTTCGAATGGTTGGACGTTGCTTTGTGTCAGAACCATTTCAGCAGCATAGATTGACTTCGCAATGCCATTTCTAATAAAATAATATTTATGTACTAAATAACATTGAAATATATATGCTATATTTATCATATAGGGACAGTTGACCTACGAATACATTACATTGAAAATAGTCAAATATAGAATAACAATTAATAGATATTAAAATAATTAGAACAATGGTTGGGAAAAGCAGTGGCTTTGATGGTTACATCAGTCGTACCCCAATTTCTGTATAGGCTACTGTCACACAATATCTGTTGTACAATACAACAATCTCGTGTCGCGCAGATTCCCAATAGACAATAGGGTGGAGAGGATCGTGTTGGTATTAAAACAACTTGAAATAAACAAGAAAAAATGGAGTTACCAAGTCTAAAAACTAAGAAAACCAACGATTACAATTACTGACAATAAATTGCAAGTGTGTTAGCGACATTCCATATTTCTAGTAAGGTTGTTTCGATAATTTTATCGAACGAAATTTACTTTAAATGCTAAATCAGAATGTTATTGCAATTTTATTGGTGTTGAGTTTCTTTCTCATTGACATCTATAGATATGCGAATTAGGCGCCTAGGTCTACTTAGGAGATACGATAGCGACAGATGATTTTACCCCATTTTTCCTGGAAAGTTTGATCCCCATATATTTGTTACATTAAAATTTGTAAAAAAACAAAACAAAGTAAGTTTGAACCCCTAATGTTTGTTACAACATTAAAATTTGTAAAAAAAAATCAAAGTATGCAAGATTATCCCTGGGGGTTAGACTTCAGTGGCGGATCCAGGGGGTTTGGACGAACCCCCCTCTGTGAAGAAACGTAACAAAATACTACTGGGTCCTGGCTTACAAAATTCATGCTAAGAGATGCGGATCCAGACCTTCGCCCTCACCCAGGCGAAGGTCAGGGTGAGAAATCAAAATAAAATGTTGACCATTTTTTCCAACAATCATACTTTACTTTCCTTGACACTTATTTTGAACATTACTATTAGGAAAATGTTTAAATCCACGCTATCCTATACCTTACACTTTTACACTGATTGTACCAGAGAGAGGTACATTCCCAATACATTATGGTCTTCCACTTCTATAGCGCATGATATATGTATAGCAAATGTTAGGCCCCATAAAAAAAAAATTATTAGTTTATCACCCGCTCCCTCATCACTTTTGGGGAAAATGTGATTTTTTTTTTCAATTAACATATATTTTTATTTCAAACGGTTCTTTTTACACATGAAAAGCTCAGGATTTCTTGCAAATATGTTTACTGGTACAACAAAAACATATTTTTTAAATATAAATTGATTCCACTCTTATGACCTTTTATATATGTGTCTCTAACCATTGATTTACTTGTGAACATCGGTAAAATGGGGGCGGAGTTAGCAAAAAAAAAACCAAAAAAACCAAAAAAACAAACCTTCCTCCTTCATCAGTTTTTATTCTTTGATAGGATGTAACGAATACTCAGGTCCAGTGGCGTAGGTATTGGCAGTGCAGTATAGGGGGCTCGTTCAATAGGTCTAATCTGGTTTAATGATCTAAAAATATAACTTTAAAAAATCCTATTTAAACTTTAAAAGGACCCTTCAATAATATTATGTTTTAGAGGCTATAATATTATATTCATTACAATTTACCTATTACCAATTTCCCACGCTCCAAGTAAAAATAACCCAACCAAAAAATAACCCAACCCAAAACAAGACCTTACGTATCCATAGAGAAAAAACAGATTCTCTATGCGTATATGATACTAATGTACTTTTTAGGTCGATGACTGTTGTGTTATTGAATGCTAATTGTTATTATCGTGATGGAATAAACAATACCTGGATTTGCGTCAGGAGCATCAACTAGGGTGCCTATATGTATTTTGCCCAACCTGTCGTGAGTATGTATTGAATACTCAGTGCGTGATGCACTAATATACTTTTTGAAATCACATTTCTAAAGCAATAAAATATCGTCACACACATTTGTATTTGTGGTATTTTAAAGTTGGTTTAACTATTAGTGTGTACCTTTTTAAACACTTCAGATCATCATAACTTCATGAATACATTTTAGATTCACTTCACTGCAAGTAGGTCGAGATGACTGTTCTATTATTGAATGGTAATTGTTATTATCGTGATGGAATAAACAATACCTGGATTTGCGTCAGGAATCAATTAGAAGGGCCTATATGTGTGATTTTGCCCGACTTGTCGTGAAAATGCACTGAATACTCAGGGTGTGTGAAGTTGTTCTCCAGTGGGACACGAACTCAGTTCTCTAGATCACTTGCCTGGCATCATACCTCTAGACCACCGAGCTTGCACCTGATGGCCCGGTTTGAATTCGGGCCCAAGTAAGCAGCGAGTACTATTTTTGCAAGTGTTTTCACACGCACTGAGTAGGCCAATTCAGTAGGCCTGTCAGGAAAAATTTGGTCCGGGGAAAAATCGGTCCGGCGGACCGATTTTGGCCTCATAATTACTTGCCAAAAGTAGTCCACATAAGCCAAAATCAGTCCGCTAAAATTTACTTTGCTGTGCTCAGCACACTTGGGCATCTTACGTCCGCAATAGATTTTGGCGGAAAGAACGATTCCTAAGCTTTTGCAGACGTGCATATGCTTATCTTAGCCAATCACAATGATGTCCGTAGCTGAAGCCTGAATTTGCATACATCACCCTATATAACATTTCGGCATGTACGGTATTTGGGTTTATTCGATTATTCGATCGCGGGTAGTGAACTTAGAGGAATAACAATAAGGAAAGGCTAAGTCTATACCCTAGCTGCATTGATGAGGCCTGGAAGGCCGAAACGGATCCGTCTGCAGATATTGGGATTCCTTCCAGTGGATGCATATAGTTTATTTTGTCATTCTGATCGGATTTTCTCTACTTGTCATACTTTAAGGAAAAAGAACTTGATACTGTATATTCAGATTTGTATACCGATTGTTAACAGTAACTAAGATGTTCGACTAGGGAAGCTAAGTATTTATGGGTGTAACTATAGCGAGCAGCGTTATCTGAGGGCCGAAGGCCAGAGCCAGGGGTGGGTATGGGGGTGTCCCCTCCTCCCAAAACGAGATCTTAAAACAAAAATTGGGACTTCTAGATGGCCGGAAATGGCTGGGATGGGCAAACTAGGCCTATTTCGTGTTTTTTTTTTTGGTCCGACTGCCCGACGAGCTTTGGCCGATGAGGGGCTTGACCAGACCGATGGGGGACCGATGGGGGGGGGGGGGACTTGACCATACCGATGGGGGGCTCAAGCCCCCCTGCCCCACTGGCACCGCCACTGATTAGGCCTTCATCTCTTTTCCTTTTTTCTTTATTATTAAAAAAAGATCAAATATAGGCCTAAATGTTTCTCTTGAATTAAAAAGAATGAACTAATGAACTATTTTATATATATTTGCAATAAAGTAATATACAGTATATTATGTATGGAGAGGCCTTGCAATATATATATATATATATATAGACAAAAAAATATAGTTATTATAATTATATATTGTATAAACATTAAAATTAGGCTACCTTTTCTTTCATAAATTAAAACGGACCGTCAGCGGCTCTTTTCGTCGTTCATCCAATCAAATCAATGCATTCAGAGTGTGGTGATAAATGATGGGAGAGGATGTATGGCACGAGGGTAGATAGTTTGCATGAATATCATGCCTCGCTGACTCGCAGTTTGTCAATACCCAAAAGCACATGTTTTATTATTATACATTATACGGTCGAGGAAGGTTAATAATGTACGTAAGACCACTTAACCCTCTCTTTAAGACTAATAATGCAAGCTTCCTTAAAGTACAAGTATATGTGAAGAGAAAAATATTAACAATAACATTATAACATGGACCAAATCTTGTCACAATATAGTATAATAAAGTAACCACAAAACATAACAAAGTCTCACCGATATCCCCTCCGCTCTCTCCTACCCTGTTTCTATCTTAATGCACATTCCGAACTTCATAGTTAAAAATAGGCTTATTGCAGCCTTAGTGCCAGACCATAAATCTGAAGATAGGCCTACTTAAATTGTTTTAAACAGACCTACACCACAAATCAATTACTTGATTACATGTTCAGGTAACAAGAACATTAAATACTAAATCATTTCAATTATGACCTTAGAAAGAAGGGTATGAGCTTTTAGAATGCAATTGGACAACATTTGGCCCATGTATCGATGGGGGTGAAATAAAACGTGTTTTTGTTGATTTTTTTTTCTTTTTCCAATGTTTGTAGTCATACAAAAGAACCGAGGTAATCTACCATAATAAAGGCTAGTGGTCTAACAAAACATTAGGGCAACGAAACTTTCAGGTAAAATTAGGTGAACTAATTTGTTGCTAGATCCTGGTCTTAATGTGAGGATTTATTTCGCAATATAACATATTTTTAAAGTATAGGTATTTTTCTTTTCTCTCAGCACTTTGCATTAGCGTACTTTTATTAGGCCTCTGAGTTATGAAAGTGCGGTTTTACAGTTGAGAAAACTATTGTTCGTAATTTGGCAACACAGATACCGGTAACTGTAATTGAAAGTTAGGTACCAAATTAATACTACGAACTTTTCTATCAAAATATGTTTTTAGTTTACATTACGAATAATGTACTGGAGATATGAAGTTTTAAAAAACTCTCATTTCATTTCATTTTTTCATTTATTTCTTCAGACAAGTGTCTTGGGGTCCCAAAATCTCGAGACTTTCGTGACACCCTAAACTCGCAGCCTGCAGGGGTCCGTTAATGTGGGAGTCCGCGAAAATTGTTGGGGTGTGCAAGATTTTTACCAATTTTTTATGATTCCATTATTTTTCTTGTCTTACAACCTGTGATAAACATCTTACTGCTAATTATTAAGTGCCTTCAGTAAATGACATAGGCATAACCTGTTCACTGTAAATTGTTTTAACTTTGCCGCGTGACGCTCGACGCTTTCGTTTCAATGTGTTCAGTGGGAATAGGTCTTAATAAACGTATCACTATCTATTATACAGTATATTTAATAAGCATACTTTCACAAATTCAGTGGTTATGATCACAGTTATTCAAAGTCAAAATTTATTTCACAAATGTTATTTTGATTTTCTGTTAAATAGAAGTCTATTATTATTTGTATACGCATAAGACTTGATCAGAGTTTTTACGAATTTTTGGAATAAAGTGATATATCTGTCTCTTATACACATCTAGATGTGTATAAGAGACAGGACTTGACCATACCCGCCAAGCGGCTAGTAAACGCCGAGGGAATCGACATCGCGTGCAAGCATTATCATCAAATCCACAGAAGTATTTTATTGTCATAATAGTACATCACAACAAATTTTAGTAAATTTTTATCCACAAATAATAATTACAAGCTTTGGATGTGTAAACTTCATACTAAAACATCAGTTTTATGGGCCATCTTCATGACACCCGCTTGCTCATGCACATGTTATGATATACATGATATACATAACCAAAATAAATAACACTAGCGTTTCAAATTACGACAGTAATTCCTATTAAAAATATAATTATGTAATGAAAAATATTTATAGTTAAGAAAAAAACTTATTACACAATCAACTAATGTGTTTTGAAAAGCCATGTTGTCAATAGTAAGTATGTTTGTTTATTTATTTACAGAATTCATTTTCAATGCAGTACAGTACAATACTAATTGTTTTTATTATTTTCCATTAAAGTTCTCTTTACTTAAACGACTGTAAATTGACGCCCGGTTTTACCTGACTGGTTGTATATATATATATATATATATATATATATATATACTTTGTTTAGAACACATTGTGTTAATTTTTATTGTGCAACAATATGGTGTAACTGTAATCTGAGTACCTTGCGATCTCTTCAAGTCTGCTACAATAATGCCATCAAAATGCTCTTTCAAAAGTCTAGACATTGTAGTAAACAAGACACAAGCATAATGGTAACTTCAATTTTATAAAATTGTTCTAATTTATAAGTATCAACATAAAATATAAAACCTAATAAAAAGAAGTAATGAAATATATCTCGAATTTGGTTGTGCATTGTTTAACAATCAACTTATATATCACCATGGGTTTCATCTAGCGGTCGCTGTTTTAGGCGTTACCATAGGCCTATATTTTATGTACTGTATGGCCCGGCCTATTACCGCTTATTAAGAAACAGGGGCCTATATTCTATGTACGGCCTATTATAGCTTGCTCATTTGTGAAGCATCTCTAGCTGTTTTTTTTTCTTTACTGTCGAATGATTATTGACGTTATATTTGTTTAATATACTGTTTTACTATTAAAACCAAAATTTTGGGGTTTTTTAGGGCCAAATTAAATTCTCTGCAGGCCAAATTTGGCTATAATAGGGCCTATGTTTTTTCTTTCACCATTTACAGAAAATCAAGAAAAGTAGCACTTGTTCAGATATTTGTCAATACTTCAAAATGTTCTTTGTAGTTTCTATCTATAATAATGACAAAAAACAAAAGTAACACTTTAGATTAGTTAAAATTTTGTTTCTTGTATTTCCCTTTCTAAACTATAGGGTCTTTTTCTATGTACAAAAAAAAACAAAAACAAAAAAAAACTAAGAAAAGTAGCACTTCTTAGACTTATTGAGATATTTGTCAAAACTCCAAAATGTTCTTTGTATTTTCTATTTATAACAATGACAACAGAATAGACTAGCCGTCAAAATTTGAAGTTTCGTTTCTTGTACTTTCTAAACATAAAATTCTAGTATCTTTGTATTCACCCGACACGTCATGGAAATTATGATTTCAGGGATAAAATAGGCCTACGTCTCCGTTTTTTGAGTTTCTGCGTATGATAAATAGTTAGCTGATTATTTCGTTGACGACAAATCAAATATGCCCATCCAAAAATAAAACAAAAACGACTCAACAGGCCTATCTACCGACAGAAAGTGTTAATAGTGATATGGCGCAAGACACAAAAACATGACCGCAGTTCTTACCTTAGCTGGCGCACATTTGATGTGTTTGCTTTCCATGGTGTTTGAAATATTGCTGCTAATTCTTGAAAATTTTGCACTTCTTTGGATATGCCTCTAATGTTTTGGCTTCCAATATGCAGTTTAATTTCGCTTCCTGATGTATTCATGTATGTTGTAAACTTTGCTGGCTTCATTTCATAGCGGGGTTGGTTTTCAAGTGACTTGCTATACTTTATATCATCTGACGTTAACCGGGAGTATTCCCAGCTTGATGGAGGAAGAATAATTTAAAATAAACCTAAACATATATATTTATTTCTGGAAAAAATATAATAATCAACAATATTTGATATGAAAACGATATAGGAAATGGATATCGACAAAAAGGAAAGAACCAAGTAAATCAAAGTGACATTATCAATTCTTTTCTTTATATCAAAATAGTTGGCCTATGCCAAAATTGGTTTTTTGGAACAAGCTATGTTCTTTTAAGGATTTTGTTGTGTAAATGTAATCTAACCTTGTTTAAAGCTCTAAAGTGTATATATATATATATATATATATATATATATATATATATATATATATATATTGTATATATATATATATGTAATACTTTAGACTGATTTCTTTCACCCTATTCGTGCATTGATTTAAATAACGATAATAACCTTAAGACAATAATAGTTTCGCCCTAAGACTAATTACTAATTAGTCCTTAGTACCTGATTTATACACAATAAAGTAGTACAAAGTTCATCATTAAGTTAACTTGTTTTATATAGCACAGGTTACTGGATATTGTTTATCGCTACATTGTAAATAGTATTTTAAGTTATTAAGTTAGTAATGGTATCATCATAACATAATGATATGGTTCAAGACATTCTGCGGATGTAGATGTCTATGTTGTTTGTATGTGACACGGACTTAGCGTCCCTTCTTAGGAGGGACGCTTCTTTCTTTTCTAATTGGCAAGAACAAAGACAAGACGCACCGAAAAATAGCAGCCGTGTACATTTGAAAATCTACTGTAGCTACCGTTTTTCAGGGGAAGGAGCTATAGCAGACAAAGAATTATGATACATGATTATTATATGGTTCCTTGTGAAGCACTGTAATCCAAGCTTGTCATATTGTGCATACAATGCCTGGTCAAGTTGGGGGTTTTGTTTTAGGTAACAAGTAATTGTCAGTTTCTGGATTATGGGTTTTTTTTTTGGCGTTTTCGAACAAATAAACGACAACAGAGAAGTTACATCGTCTCCTGACTATGTTGTTGTTCTACCTGTGTTACATTAGTATATATATAAAGAAGGCGTGTCCATGTGTGTTTCGAAACATATATAGAATATAATATAACGTAACAGTGAAGAAACTCAAATACGTAAAATGTTGACTTTAGAAACACTAAAATTTATTAGGCGAATATTTCGGCTACTCCTGTAGTCTTTGTCAACGCTTGACATAAAATGAACATATTGAGAAGCTATCTTGGCAATATACAATTTGAGAAACAATACAGTAATTAAGTCAAAGCAAGTCGGCATACGTCTCATCTTACGTATTTGAGTTTCTTTACTGTTACGTTATATTATATTCTACATATGTTTCGAAACACACGTGGACACGCCTTCTTCATATATATACATATATATACATACATACATATATATACATACATATACATACATATACATACATACATATACATATACATACATATACATACATATACATACATATACATATACATACATATACATATACATATACATACACACACATATACATACACACACATACATACATACATACATACACACACATACATACATACACACACATACATACATACACACACATACATACACACACATACATACACACACATACATACATACATACACATACATACACATCCCCCTGACAATTTTTGACAATTTATGGGTTTTAAAGGCTTATTTTATTGATTTTAGAGTCTACTAAGATGTACAAAAATTCTTTTTTCTCCCAGACGAATTATGGTTTTTCTTCCCGACTGGGGTGACTTTGTGTACAACTTTACCATTATCCTAGTTTGTAAGCAGTGGTGGCGCCAGATGGCTGGGGAGGTTATAGCCCACCCCCTGATGGGGAAGCTTACTTAGCTCCCCCCCCCCAACCGGTCGGGGAAGACGAATACATTTTGTCTGGGAATAAACAAATAAAAAAAATATTTTGTAATATTCGTTGAGCCACGATATTGTTTCCATTGAACTATTTGTGTTAACTTTCCATCACAATAATAATAATAATAATAATAATAATAATAATAATAATAATAATAATAATAATATTAATATAACAATACTAAACATCATCTCTTGTTATACAAAACATTTTAATAGGCCTAAGCTTATGCAATGCTACATACAAGTAGTTTTTTAGGAAAATGGGAAAAAATATAAATAGAACAATAAATTACATAAATGGTAATTATTTTTGCCAATCCAAAGATCAAGGAAATGTATGGGTTGTTAATTATCGCTATGTATTACCGCTGCGTCGTCTCACTCTATGAACCAAAAATAGCACCACATAGTATCCCACCCTTTAGAATTTTGAGCACGACCTTTAAATTTTAAGGACAACATTTCTGAAATTCCACCACTCTTAAAAAAGAAATCCTGGTTAGAGGGCTGAATATATATATAAAACAGCAAACGGTCACATAATGCAAAACTATTTAAAATTAAAACGGAACAGTAGAGAAAATCCGATCAGAATGACAAAATAAACTAAGCATCCACTGTAAGGAATCCCAATATCTGCAGACGGATCCGTTTCGGCCTTCCGGGCCTCATCAGTGCAGCTAGGGTATAGACCCAAACGAAACGTTCGACCAGCTTAGGTAGGGCCCAAACTAGTCGCACGACCACTAATGATTACAGAGCCAAACCAAGGCAATATATATACACAGCCCAGGTGTGAATGCAAATAGTGGAATACAAGCTATGTGGCTCGGTTCCAGTAGATACAGATAGATATCCAGTAGATATATATATATATATATATATTTATATATTTACACGACAGTATTTCTAGCCGTATTTCCATATTTATCTGGCCGAACGCCCTCTTGAGGCATAGCATTTTGTAATACAATGTTCCCGACGGGTATTTGGACCTGTTCAACCATGAAGCCTTCGTGGCTAGTGGTTATGACGCTTGCCTTGTAAGCGAGAGGTCACAGGTTCGAATCCCATCGGAGGAATTTTATTACACAATGATTTTTCATAGGACTTTATTCGCTGAAAGGCTACAGGGTAGCCTACGATGTTCCATCATGTCCTTATTAAA